GGAGTTTAAAGAGGTTTAAAGATTATAAAAAATCCTGTAGAGAAAGGTTAGTCTAAAAGGAAAGCGAGGTTTTTTTGTAAATTCATGAAGCTGAGAGTAGGGGCAAAAAAATTACACACATGGTTTTTTAAGTGTTATAATTAACTAGTTTAAAATTGAATCAAAATAAACTTTACTTTATTATTTATAAAACGCACTTGTGTCTGCATTGAACAGAGTCAATGATAAATAAAATAATAAACAACAACAATATCATAAGCAACAAAATTAAAAAAAGACTATGGAACAATGTTACAAGATTCAGATACTTAGAGTAATAAACTCCTACAATAAGATATATCTGTTTTCCTCTTTTCTTTATTTCATTTGCAAGTTACTTTTGGATAATGTTACCAATTGATTTTGTCAATTCTAATTTTGAGTGTTTATTTAAATGTCTATTTCTTTTTGGGTATTGGTGTTATTGTGAGATGTTTTCGGTTATGTTTTTCCTTGACGGTAATAATAATATTAAAACTATATTGATAAAAAAACAGTTAAAATTCTATGATCATTAAAAGTTTGCTTGGCTCTCTTGTAAGTGATAACATTATTTTATCCTATTTTAAGTCCTACAGGGCTGTATGCAGAATGCTTTATGCCTCTGGACCCTCTTTGTATTATTAACGATATCATGAATCATTGTACTAATCCGAGGCACTCCAAGATATTAAACAACTTGTTTGCATTTACTTTGCTTTGAATATAAACATTAGCATATAAAGTATGGATTTTATCTTAAATGTCAAGAATTTTGGTGTACACTAGGTGTCAAGTATCACGATTGTTAATTGCTTAATTTATTTGGTTGATGTAATTAATGTTGTAGGGAACTGGTTTAGCATGTTCAAATTTAATATTTACACAAACATTTTACAGTCAAACATTCGTTCTGCTTGGGCCACTTGTCTGATTTTAGCACAGACATAAACATTCTGCGAAAGGACTCTCCATCACCAGTCCTTAGAATTTTGTAACCCCGATTTAGTCAGTGGCTATATAGTCATTCTTTTCAAGAGGCTTGACATAGTTCGCTTTCGCACAAACATTATAAGACATGACCAAACAAGGTAATTTTTGTATTCATATGGCCTTTACCCTCAGACGATGATTTAGCATTGCCGAAAGGGAAAACATGTATAATGAAGAGTTTAAGAAATATCAGACAACCAATTTATATTCGTGAGAATAGTAATGTGTTTGTGGAAGACAAAATGTAAAGAAATTGCAGTTGGAGTTACCATTAGGTAGTTTTGATTTAGTTTACAATTCGGATGTGGAAACACCTTCTGGAGCTAAACTCAACCAAGATCTACAAGGCATGTCAGTTACTTTGACAGACTTTCTAGTAATGCCAAACAAAAAAGCGGAAAGGAAAATAAAAGGGTTACGAAACAATTACTGTTGGACGCCTCCCGAAAAAGAAGGGAAATGCACAAACATTGTGCCATTTGATAAGAGAAATAAGCAAAGATCAAGACTTATTAGTTCTCAAGGGGTTTGTAAAATAATGAAGATAGAGCTTGGAGTGTTCCTCACACTTCAAGGACAAGTCATTGAAGAGAATAAAGTAGATGTTAGTAAATATGTTTTGTGTATTTAGACATGCTGTTTCGTTTAAACATGCTAAGGACCCGACGACAAAGAAATATTGCCGGTCGGACACGGCGAGTCAACATACGGCAAGTAATGCAAAACGTAGGAGCCCAGACGAAGAGCTGGAACAGTTAGTGGCAACGTGTATTTACAAAATTAAACTGACAAGAACAAGAATCCAGCAGCATTCACTTGGCGAGATGGCATTAAAATGTCAGAAATATGGTGCGCTACATTTTAAAGAAGAACAAAGAGGACGAGGCGAAGGATTTTCATCCTGCTGCCATAAAGGAAAAGCGAATCTACCACCATACCAAGAAATCTATTATATTAAGAGCGTACTTAATGGAGCAAATCATTTGAGCAGAAACTACAAAGAGAACATTAGATCGTACAACTCTGCGCTCGCAATGGTCAGCACTCGAGCTAAAATTGAAGAACGTTGGTGGAGGGCCTTTCATGTATAAGGTGTAGACACAGTTTATCACCCAATTGTCACCTTTCAACCGTCAGAAGGGGAGCATCCCACATATGCCCAAATTTATACCTACGGACGAATCCGCTGTTCAAGAAAGAATGCTAAAGAAAGCTAATGGCTCTTGCAGCACTGACTCAACTTGATATTAATCCATACGCGCAAGTTTTCAACATGATGAGCTCCGTCCTGCAAAATACCCCTACTGAACAGCAAAAAGAACTTAAAATGCATATAGTCAACGATCGAGCTCAAGACCAACGTCGATACAACGACGCAACTTCTAACGACGTTGCTATAATATCCTAATTTATTATTCGTGCGAATTCGCACAGGTTCACCTAGTTCTTAAAAAACTAGGAATATCTTATAGGGCGGTATGATTTTGCTGCATAATATTTTTTGTGCGGATATTGCCCAAGTGCAGTGGACTTAACTCTTCTTATTTTGGGTGTATTTTAAAACTAGGATGCTTCTCCAGCGACCTATGTGATTGTCACCGGCGGATCTTTGTCATTCCTGTCAGAATGCCAATCTTGTATTCTTTGTAATCTCTGATGATGACAGTAGCTTCATTGCTCATAGAGTAAATGAAAATGGAGGAAAATATTTATATATTAAAAACTATACATTCTATTTCCTTTAGCCCACTATGTGTTTTTCAATGTCATATGTTTGTTTGACGTCATTATGCAATTTCAGATCAAATTTAGCCTCAAAGTCTCATGAGAAATACAAGAACTTTAAGAAATGTGAAGCTGACTCAGTGTTAGCCTCTTGCCTCAGTGACAAAGGATGTGAAAAATGATGACCAACAGGTAGGTGGCTCAGTCAGTAGCTCAGTCGGTACCACCATGAATTTGGGCCCAAGCCATTGATTTTGTTGGTACGGATCCTGGCACCTCCCACTACTTTTAGCGAATTCCCCTATGGGGAAGGTAGCTACTCCCTATATTAGTATGACTTCACACGTTAACATTAGGTCTCATGTTAATACCTGGGACTGGGACTGATTTACTTTTTCATTTTGATGTCCCCAGAGGCCAAAAACACTATTCGTTCAAATTTTTATACATGTGTGTGTGTGTCCGTGAACGATAACTTGAGTAATTTTTGTCCGTTTTTGATGAAATTTGGCTTGAAGGTGTTGGGCGGGACAAACTTGAATGAGTTTGCAAACCAGCATGATAGGACTATGGGAACGGGGTTTAACTGGGGGTTATATGGAGTAAAAATCGGGTTTTCTTATTTTTCACCCTCTAAAGAAAAATCCCGATAGGACTATGGGAACGGGGTTTTACTGGGGGTTATATGGAGTAAAAATCGGGTTCTCTTATTTTTCACCCTCTAAAAAAAATCCCAATTTCTCTCCTTACCGTTTTTTAGAGCTTAAAAAAATTATTTAAAATAAATTAAAATAGGAATTTTTATTGACTCTTGCCTAGTACTATAATATATTCCACTGAAAGTAGGCCTATTTGACTTAACCGTGTTTTGTGTTTATTTGTGACTTTTATATCAATACGAAAAAGGAGATAAGAGTAGTTTATTTTATAAATAATGCAAGTATGACTTCAAAATAATGATTATATAATTCCAAATGAATAGTTCTAGGGATTGCCTGTTTTAACCGACCTTTTGAGTTATCCAACCTAGGTCCGGTCCCATTAGGGTCGGTTAAGAGGGGTTCTACTGTATATACAACATCTCCCCTCTTCAGAGGTTCTTCAACAGCTTTCAACAGCAATAATAAAATAAGGTTAACCTTCTCAAAGAAATGTAATTCAACGTATTACAATTTGTACTAATGACTTGCCAAATTTTGTGTTAAGGACGAGAAAAGGAAAATGCAACTTATTACCCATTACAAAATGTAATTTAGTTCGTAGATTTACCTCATGACGTAAAATAAAATTTTATGAATGTACAATTTTACCATTAGACTAGATAGTTAAGTTGTTGTTGTATAGTGTTATTATTTATTTATTTATTTAATTTGTTTAAAGACTTGTGAATAGAGAAATGTAATAAAATATAAATAAACCGTTATTGAATTGTTTATGAATATACTTTTATACCTTTAGAAAAAAATTAGATTAATATGCTAGCTCCGCTCAATATTGCAAGCAGACAACTGCATTGTACACCTAGTTATTTATATGCTTTATAGTGACTGTAGGAAAAATATAATGTGTAACACGAGTGCAAAAGGCCTTTGCTGCACTCTAGTCTAGACCATTCCGCACGAGCCGCAGGCGAGTGCGTAAACATTGCTCTCGTGTGCAGCAAAGTGCCACTTTGCTCACTAGTTACAAAAATAACTATTTCAGGTTATTGTTATGTGTTAAATCAAATTAATCAAGTCTTGTTTTTATAAACAAATGTACGATGTCTTTTGCAATAACATCCATTCCTATAATACGAGAAGTAGTATAAATGTCCATATTGATCAAGTTAGGTTATCTAAACTTTATGAATCCATTCATGTGTTGGTGGTTTTAATTAAATTTGCACAGTTTTAGTCTTCCAGCTAATAATTTACTAAACCAATTCAAGAATTTTTAGCCCTCAAAATTTCAAATTCAAGCCATCTTTGAATGGCTGCCATTTTCGGCTCGATTAGTTTCCAATTCAATATGCTAAGTTTGAATCTTCGAGCATTATTAATAATAAAAATATTCCGCCGTTCCGAGACTTTTCACTATCCCTTTATAAATAGCCATTTAATCACGGATTATAAACGCTACCACAAATAGAGTGCGGTGGAAAAATCCACTAGTGAAAGTAGCGTGTAAGGTCAAGAGACTAGAGTCGACACTGTTGTCACGTTCCACTGATGAGTAATGGCGGTCGGCGCCATTAAATGACTTCACGGTCAGTCGATGCGTATATCTAGTGCGGCCTTGTGCAAATGGTATCAGTCAACTACACTTCCCATCGGCGAGTCAGTGAGCGTTTGGTTTCCTAGCAAAAGTATCGCAACCTGCAAAATAGACAAGGTATGTATTTTTACAAAAGATTCATTTTATTTCCTTACTTACTTTTATTTATTTATACACACCGTAGTATTATAAGACTAGGTGAAACCCGTCGAAATCGACGGTTAATTACTTTTAAGGTTTACGAAGATTCTTCTACTTAGTCAAATAGAGTGTTTGATATTATTATTATATTAAGTGTTTGAATATTGCCAAAATCCTAAAAATGTAACTCTATTCATTGAGTAAAAAACCAGGGCAAAACAATAATGACAATTGCTTATGTTACAAAATGTGGCTTATTGCCTTATTGCATACACAATATTTCCGATACTTCATCAAAGTTAATATTACTAAGATAACTGGTCCCATTTCGTTTTGGAACATTCTTCAGATAGTATTCGAATTGTAATTATGGATCGCCGTATGTGTTGGTAAACACAACCTAAATTTTATCAGCAGTAGGCAGATTTAATAATTTTTTAATTTGATAAAAATATCTGCCTATTCAGAAATCAGGAAAAGTCTTACTTCAAGGAGAGGAATACCTTCAAGCTGTGCAAGTTATTGTCATAATCGAAAAGCAGTGCTTTACAAAAACCTCCTTCAAAACCAGCAAATGGGCTAAGGTCGCAATAGACCACTGCATATAATCATAAGAGCACATTTTAGGCAAAATTCCCGTTTTCCATTGTTATTAGTTACAACATGAGCAATAGGTGATAAGCTGGATTATGAATGTCACAATTCATAATCATTTAGTTGGTGTGGACTTTTTCATAGTACCCTATAGAATTTGAGCAGTTTTATAAGTTCCTATCCAAAGTATTTCTTCTTTTATAAGTTCTATTACTTGGTAAGTTTTTTTTGGCTGCTACTATTCACTTTAAAAAATATTTCCTGATGATCCTTTTAAATGGGTTTTGTTCGAGGTTGGATGTAGCACCACGGCGGTCTAGTATTGCCGCTCTGTATCCGTCAAATGTTCTATATTGGGAGGGCGATGCAAGCGGTCACGTTCCCTCCGGCCATTCACAGTTCTTTGTCATAGGTGGCATTTAATTTTAAATTGAAATAAAACACGAAAGCTAACCAAACAACAGAAAACAACGCTACAAATAATTGTTTATACACATTGTAATTGCATGATAAAATGGTAAGGTAACGGGTAACTGCACTGCAAATTTGCACTTTTAAACATTCACTTTATCATACCGAACTATAGTTTTGGTTATAGTTCGGTATGATAATAACATGATAATTCAGTAAAATACTATGTAAGGTAAATCAATTTAACTGTTACAAAAAAAATATCTGTTATCAAGTCTTGCTAAGAAATACTGAATAACTTCTTGATCAGCATAGTACGTGTTATTAAATTACCTGAAAAACAAACAAATTATACGTCTAATAACACTAGAAATAATATATTTACACTTATACTGTTGAATCACAAGATGGTAAATACTGTACATATGAAAGATGGTAAGTGGTGATCGATTTCGATTGGACACTCCAATCATCATCAGACCCAATAGGCGAATAATTGAATTTCATATGCATTTACCGTCTTGTGATTCAACAGTATAAGTGTAAATATTTTATTACTAGTGTTATTAGACGTATAATTTGTTTGTTTTATCAGGTAAGAAATACTTTATTATGAACCAGACTTAGTAAACAGATGTTAAAATAAAAATAAAAATTTCGGCTTTGCCCTGGGAGTAATAAGTCCTGCAGTCTGAGGTTAACCTTAAGGCCGGGCGCGCACTATCCCGACCACGACCTCGACCACGACCAAACGCCCGACCGGTGGTTGTCATTCACCATGCGACCAGAGCACGACCCGACCACGACCCGACCAAGGCAACGAATGTTTTACAATTCAGTGTCAAGATGATTGTTGAAGAAGTAGTTGTTATGGTGCATTTGTATTGTAAGTACGTTAAGCGGAAGAAGACACTATACTGGGTATATCCAATGTTAACTGTTAGGTCTGAAAGGGCATTTTGCAACATTTTATGAAGAGCTACGTCAATATGAAGACAGGTTTCAAAAGTGTCAAAATCCTGCGACATTTTACCAAATGAGTCACTTCACAGACCGGCGCAAAAAACTAGTGCTCACCGTTTGATTAGTCTAGGAATACTCGGGGTTGAGTGGTGTACTGGTCGGGTCGGAGGCAAGTCGGGGGTAGTGCGCGTCGTCCCATTACATTGTGTGCTATTTTTGGCTGCAACGACCAGCGGGTCGGGCCCGACCAAACTGGAAAATTTTGGTCGTGCGACCAGGGCCCGACCAGGGTCCGACCAGCCGACCAGTGCGCGCTGTTCCATTTATTCCTATTATAAAACTGGTCGTGTCCGACCAGTCGGAGTCGTGGTCGTGGTCGTGGTCGGGATAGTGCGCGCCGGCCCTAAGAACTATTCCAAACTACGCCCGCGACTTTTCCGAAAATTTAGCCCTTAAATGTACTCAAGTTATGCTCTTTCTTAATATTCGGACGTATTTCCACATCTACGTGAAAATACCTTTAATTTGACACCTCAAACGTTAGGAAGGTTTGAGACAATTACTGAGAGCAAAAATATCGGATATTTGAAAATTTTCAGGGTATCACAATAGGTCGGAGTTTTGATAGTGACATCAGCATATAGATCATGTATGTATGAAACTGAGTCAGGGTATTTCTGTGCTTCGGAAACTGGCTCGCTTTGCATCGATTGATATACTTTTAACTGCTTATTATGGTATTATTTATCCGTTTATATCCTATGGGGTGTCCATTTGGGGTTGTGAGAGCACCAAATCCAAGTCAGTGTTTGGGCTTCAGAAGAAAGCTATACGATGTATTTTTAATGTTTCATCCAGAACCTCATGTAGCAACCTTTTCTGGTCCAACAAACTTTTAACTTTCCCATCGATTTATCTTTTTAAAACATTATCATTTTTGCACAAAAACTATCATCTTTTTCATCAGTTTTTTCCATCTCACAATTATGGAACAAGAAGTAAGCCCAGATGCATTATGAATATCCCGCCACACTCCACAGCATTTTTCAGCATCATTAAAAATATTCAGCAATAGTTATTTTCAACAATCACCCATCAAGTTTAAGATCTATTCAAGATTACGTAGTATTTAGGAAGAGGCTGAAATGATTTCTAATTGGAAAAACGTATTACTCAGTAAATGTCTTTTTAACTGATAAGTTTGAACATGTATAATTATTTTTTAGAGGGATTGTTTTATTTAGTTGTAATTTTGTAATTTTGACTTGGCACTTGTAACTATGTCTACATGCTGAATGAAGAATTTGAATTTGAATTTGACAAAATGTCAGAGATTTAAAACTGATGACAAAATTCCTTGGAAAAGTACGGGAAACCCTGACACAAAACTGTCGGAGATTTCTACTCGATAAAATTATCGGAGTTGCAAAATAGGTCAAAGTTTTAAGGGTGATAAAATTTCAGAGATTTTACATTGATAAAGTGACCTTGCAAAAGTATCGGAAACCTAGACGTCCAAACTATTGGATTCTCAATTTGTATTCTGATATTTCCTTAGGTAACTATCTGAAATAAACGGTATCAGCAATCTGACACATACTTTCTCCCATTGGCTTGTCAACAACCTTTATCATAGCTGAATGGTGGGAATAACTATGACAATTAGGGGGAAGTCACACAAGTTGTAATTACTTTCGAATCGTACTTTTCACAGCAATGGGGTTTGTACAATTTCGTTTAGAATCACAAGGACAATAAATAATTTAAATTAAAATCAATCCAGTTGGTTTTTTTTTTTATTTTCCCGTTTTTTATGGGTTTTATAAAAGAAAATCACATGAATTACGATAACCCTGGAACAGTAATTTTTACAGAGGTAGCAGTTGTACCGTGATATTTACAGTTAAAAGGACTGTACATGATACATTTATATGGAAATCATTCGGGCAATATTTGTGAAAATTAGATTTTTTGCTATTTTATGGGTTTTATGGGAAAATCACCATTGAAAGTCAAACACACACACACACACACACAAACATCACTTCAAAACCCACTTTTCTGGGTTCAGTGGGACCCAAAACGGATATAATCACCCAAAACTCAAACTCGAAAATGTTGACGAAAACAATACTTTCTCCTTGTACTATTATAGGGGGAGAAATTAAAATTAGAATCAAGGTTATAGGCATATTAATTTTTACTAATAATAATGCATTTTTTATGTTTGTATTGCATTTTTAAGACATTAAAGTTTGCCGTTAAAAAGAATAATTTTATTTATTGACAGTTATTTTGTAACTATTTTACAATATATACTATGCAGGAAATTTGGTACCGAATACACCAATTATAGCTACTTAACGGAATGTTATTTATAATTTTAGTAGTAAGTTTGTAGGTTTATGTTCTTATGAGATGAATATAAAGCAGTAAAATAAAATTTTGGATAAAGGTTTACATTTTTTTGTCATCTCCTATTTATACACTATTATAAACAATTTTCTTTAGGATAGTTTTTTTAACAGCCCTGCCAGTTTTTACAAATAATAATGTATTTCGTGTTTATATTGGAGTTTCGTATGACAAGTTATTGTCGTTAATAACAACAAAAAAGGTAAAAACAACAAACATTATAGTATGCAATATAACGCTTCAACTATTTTCGTAAGAATTTGTATTAACTGTATAAACAAGTTGTTTTCATGACGAGGAAAACTTTCTATTTGCGTTGTGGACCGGTTTGTGACTCACTGCAAAGCCATTTGTTGTAAGCTGACATATCTAAGCTGGATTTTAGATCAAATTTAATGTGCAGTGATATAATACAGGTCTCGACTGCTTTTAACCAAGAAACCTTCTAACTCACGAATACTAGAACAGAAACGGTATGGATCATAAACATATGACGTAACTGGCCTGAATTCTAAACTAATAACATTAACATATGGTTTAGACTGTTCCGTTTAAGCATTAGTAATAGCTATTTACCTTACAAGTGTAGTAAG